TCTCTTTCTTGATCCATGTTAGATGTTTGGGTGACGAAAATAGAGGGGTTTTCAGAACTTCAAATTCACTAAGGTAATCGATTTTGTGCCAAACTTTCCATTCCCTCCCCCTTTGGTATTGGCACCCACACAATACACACACATATATTTGCGCAAACACGCACTCTTCCCATCCCATAGAGCTATGAAACATCCAAGATTGCCCCATATTGGGGTATTCACTCTCTTGTGTTTTGGGTTTTATTTTTTGGTTTATATTTTGGGTTTTCAGATGTTTGCAAAATGGTGAACCTAATATTCTCTTTTTGTGGTTCTATTTGAATTTTGTAATTTTAGTTAAGTGCTACCCAAGAAAACTAAATGCAAGAGAAAGTTTAGGGGCTTATTGGTGAGACTTTGCTCTTCTCTATACTAATTTATTGAGATGTTAGTCTTTTTTTAGGATTTTTTAGGATGTTCAATTTTTAAATTGTACCGTGCCTTCAGGCACGGGTTATTACTATATATATATATTGGGTTATTACTATATATATATATATATATAAACATAAATTGGGTTATGGGTTTCGATGGTGGGAGTTGGATTAGAGGTGGGTTTTAGTGGTTGTGAGGGTGGGTTTTTGTGGTGGTGGGGGGGGGTTTCGGTGGTGGGGGTGGGTTTCGGTGGTGGGGTTGGGTAGTGTGGTTTCGGTGGTTAATTTTTGGTATAATATCAATCAGGTTTTTTATTTTTATTTTCACAATTTTTAAAATATAAATGACTACCAAACATATTTTATATTTTTAATTTTTAACACAAAAAAAAAACTTTTTTTTTTTTTATAAAAAAAAATATAAAAACGAAAATATTACCAAACGCACTATCGTTATAGTATATATAATTAATATATTTTTCGGTGATTAGCATGTTTGTAGTTGTTAAATGTTAGGCTTCATTTGGTTAGCGAGCGAGCGGTGGAAAATGGGGGAAAGAGAAAAAAAACAGTTTTTATTGCGTTTGTTTAGCAAGAAACCAAATTTCTCAGGATTTTTTTTTCCCGCTGAACAGATTTTCCTGCAAATGGAGCCATTTATTTTCCCAACAAATTTGCACAAAAATTTTTTGTTTCCCGTGAAATTTGAGAAGGCTCTATCCTCTGGACCATTCTGCCCTCTATTTCAGCACACAATAACTCCTCCAATTTTCATCTTCATATACAACTCTCTCATATTAATCACTCTCACCTTCACCCTTGTGTCTCTGCACATCTGCTCAAACCAATCTAGTGAGTTTATCTTCCATCTCTATTTTATTTTGTGTAGTAGAATTGATATATATCGCAAGTATCAAGACTTTAACCACTCACAGCTTTTCTCTGCACATCTTCTCTGTTTGGTCTTCCATCTTTTGTTTATCTGCATATCTTTATGTTGGTTGCTGGGTTCAGTGTTTTATTTTAGTATGAGTTTGTGATGTAGTAGATGAGATCAGCTCCAGACAAACTTCCCTGCTTTGCTCGTTACTTCCATTTGAGGTAGACAATAACACAACAATGGAAAAGAAAAGAGTAATATGCCATAGGATTGCTTGAACCACACACTCACAACATAGCATTAAAACCCAATTACACCCACCAAGAAGGAGTGTTTGAACCACACACTCACAACATAGCATTTAAAGCAGGGCATGGATATTTTTACAAAAAAGATATGCTCTTATGTAATATTTTTTTTATTTCCTCTATGTATATGTACAAATTCATATGATATCCGAAGTAAATCTCATGCATATTTTCTAACACCAAAACTTTGAAGATAATGGTCAATAATCACCCGTGATGTATAAAAAATCATAGCAGAATCTCATACCAATCAAAGNTATTTCCTCTATGTATATGTACAAATTCATATGATATCCGAAGTAAATCTCATGCATATTTTCTAACACCAAATCTTTGAAGATAATGGTCAATAATCACCTGTGATGTATAAAAAATCATAGCAGAATCTCATACCAATCAAAGAGGAATATGACACATACATGTTTGTCCTTGCGTGATGCCGATCATGCTTAAAATGCCACGGCTCATAGGGATATATCAATGGCAAAAATGCCAGAGTTCCAACAATGTCTTCCACAAATTTACAGTGTGCATGAGGGAAACACCTTTTAGTCTTGCAGATTGTACCATGAAAAGTATTTATAGTGTGCATTAGTGAAGACACATCAGATTCAAGCATTACTTTGAGAAGATATTATGCCTAGTCTTNACGCCACGGTTCATAGGGATATATCAATGGCAAAATGCCAGAGTTCCAACAATGTCTTCCACAAATTTATAGTGTGCATGAGGGAAACACCTTTTAGTCTTGCAGATTGTACCATGAAAAGTATTTACAGTGTGCATTAGTGAAGACACATCAGATTCAAGCATTACTTTGAGAAGATATTATGCCTAGTCTTTTTGCCAATTTATACAGTCTCACTAGCCAGGAAAAGTTAGTTGAAAGGACAAAAAAACACAGTAAAGTCAGTATCAAGCTCTACTTAGGCAAATAATTGGTAAACTGCTCAAGGTAGTCACTGCCTAATTTGACACTTCAGCTATTGTTCATAGTTATATATCAAATCAACATGTGGGATTTGTATAATAGACACTCTCAATTCAATACAAAGTTGTATTTAACTTCTTGGTCATGGTGTTATATATCTTTTCTGACTATCTATGGAGAACCACTATGAAATCATAAAATATGCTCNAACACAGTAAAGTCAGTATCAAGCTCTACTTAGGCAAATAATTGGTAAACTGCTCAAGGCAATCAGTGCCCAATTTGACACTGCAGCTATTGTTCATAGTTATATATCAAATCAACATGTGGGATTTGTATAATAGACACTCTCAATTCAATACAAAGCTGTATTTAACTTCTTGGTCATGGTGGTATATATCTTTTCTGACTATCTATGGAGAACCACTATGAAATCATAAAATATGCTCGATAAAGTAGTCCCATAACATTTGAGTGCATGAATTCAGTGCTTCTGATAACTCCCTTTTTGTGGGAGGGTGTCAACAATATCCTTCAGTGTAACATTACTCGAGTTAAGTTTATTGAGTAGCTTTTTTCCTTCTTCCAGTAACTTGTTTATTAGGTAGCTTAGTATCTTATTTGTGTGTTTGTTTCATCTATATTTCAATATTTTTATTTGTATTTTTAATGAGGTGTTATTTTTTGTGATTTTTTTTAATATTCGATCGTTTAGACGGATATCGATGATGATAATGATGACGAGANATGTGTTCTTTTTTGTGATTTTTTTTTAATATTCGATCGTTTAGACGGATATCGATGATGATAATGATGACGAGATTGTTCTTATTTATGCACAATTTGTTGGCGTCATGGCTGTTATGTATGGTGCTCACTACTTGCAACAATATGAAGAGAAGCCACAGCGTAATTGTTATCTAACACAACGTGAATTTGTGGGCGACGTGACAGAAAGTGATGAACATTGTCATAATCTATTAAGAATGAATGTAGAGTCTTTTCAAATATTTGTATACATTTTTAAAGGAACTGGAAAGTTAAAAGATACTGTGCACTGTAGTGTTGAAGAACAATTAGCAATGTTTTTACATATAATATCACACAATCTCAAGAATCGTAGTGCAAAATGCTACTTTAAGAGGTCTGGGGAAACCATATCTCGATATTTTCACATAGTCTTAAATGCAATAATAGGCATGGAAGATGAATTTTTAAAGCAACCTACTTCGACAATGGAGATACCAAGAGAAATACGCGAAAATCACAGGATGTGGCCATATTTTAAGGTAACATTTCATCATAGATAACACCTTTGAATATATGTTGGATTTTTTTTTCTCCATTAATTTCTCATTTGTTATTGGCGCAAGTAGGATTGTATGGGAGCAATTGATGGTACACATCTTCCAGTGAAAGTTTCATATGAATATGTTGCTCGATTTCGTGGTAGAAAACAATCACCTTCACAAAATGTACTAGTTGCTTGCATGTTAGATTTAAGATTTATCTATGTATTAGCTGGTTGGGAAGGATTAGCAGTTGATTCTAGAATCTTAAGTTGTGCTACTACTCAAGGGCATGGAATTACATGTCCTCCAGGTAATTACGTAATTTAACAATTATTTTACCTCTACTAAATAACATAATATTTTTTGTGTAGGTAAATTCTATCTTGTTGATGCGGGATTTTCATTGCTAAAGCATTATATTACCTCATTCCGAAGTACAAGATATCACTTAAATGAAATAAGAGGTCGTGTACCAACCACACCTAAAGAGTTGTTTAACCATATGCATTCATCTTTACGGAATGCAATTGAGAGAGCCTTTGGGGTACTAAAAAAAAGATTTTGAATCTTAGTTGATGAGTCAATGTTTGGATATAATACTCAGACGAAGATAGTAATTTCTTGTTGTATGGTGCACAATCATATTCGAGGAGTGATGCCAAATGATCCACTCTTAGCCATTGTTGATCGAGAGATGTGACATCAACCTGCCACAACAAATGATGTTGTCGACACACAATTAACAAGGGCAGAAGATGGAAGGGAAGGAAAAAGAATTCGAACACAAATAATGAATAAAATGTGGACTGATTTTTGTAATGGGCATCATTTGGATACTTGATGATATCGTATTTTGATATTTTATGTTACATGTAAATGGTAGTGTATGTCTCTTTATTGGGGAATTGAAAATAAATACTACCTTGTTTTTGATATAGTTTGTCTTTTAATTATGTATGTATCTTGTTTCAAAATTGACTATGTTTTTTTTGTTAATTGTTATTCAATATGTGTGAGCTGTTATTTTAGGAATGGAGCGAGACGAGCCGCAAACTCTCGTAGGAGATGGGAAGAAAAAAGGAAAGAATGTAGTCTGGTCTAAGGAGATGGATCGATGTCTCATTCTAGAACTTGTACATCAAGCTAATGAAGGTTATAAAGTGGACAAGGGCTTTAAAGATCACGCTTATATTGCAGTTTTATCAGTTGTGAATTCAAGTTTTAACCTTTTTCTCACTTGCTCGAGACAATTGTGTTAATCAGTTAAAAACCATCAAGAAAAAATTTAGAGTCATACAAGACATGTTGAGCAAAAGTGGATTTGCTTGGAATCCAATGTTGAAAATTGTGGAGTGTAGTGATGAAGTCTAGGCTACATATTTTGCTGTAAATATCATTTACATAATAGCAATGTCTAAATGTTAATTCTTTGCATTTCAAAATAAAATGACAATTTGTCAACATATATGCTTGACTATAATGCTTGATATATTTTTATAGACAAATCCAGATGCAAAAGGTTTGCGTGGTAAGGGGATTGATATGATTGACGAATTAGCTATTGTGTGTGGCAATGATCAAGCAATTGGAGAATGGGCATGTTCAGGTAAGGATATAAATGGTAACTTTTCAAGGCAAATGGACGTTAGTGACGATGAGTACACGCCGGTCTTTGATCACAATGAGAATATGGTAGTTGACGACTTGGGTGATATAGAAGGTAATGGATCTGGACATCAAATAGCCAATGATAATAGCCAGATACCAACACAAAACAAACGCAACCTTGGATCTTCAAAGCCTATGAGGTGTCATTCAAAGAAGCCAAAAAATTTCAGAAATTGTTGTTGAAACAATAAATGTAGTTGCTAATAACATGGCAAGACTAGTTGATGCATACAAAAAGAGTAAACTTTGCGTAAATTATTCGTACCTTTACAAAGCTGTAATGGATGTTGAAGCGCTTGATATTGATAGTCGAATGACCTCTTTTGAGTACTTGAATGCAGATCTGATCAAAGCGAGAGTATTTTTGATATATCCTGAAGAAATGCGCTATTTGTTTTTAATTCGACACCTAGCACAAGGTGGTGCCGATGGTATAAATTGAAGGTCAGGTGGTCGTGATGGTGCATGCATTTTCGATTAAAGGATTATAAATTCCTTGGACTTAGTTTTCTAGTATGGTTTTTTTTTTTTTCGGTGTTGGAATTTTAGAGTGGTTTAATAACTTTGCATGTTATGTTGGTATAACAGGACATGATTTATGTTTGATNTCCGGTGTTGGGATTTTAGAATGGTTTAATAACTTTGCATGTTATATTGGTATAACAGGACATGATTTATGTTTGATGGAATTTTGGTTTTGTTTGCATTGAAGGATTAAAGCGGACTGTGGCTTATCCTATTTGCTTCTTGAAAATCCTTTTGGTTAATCAATAAAATTACTCTTTCCTTAAAAANGGTATATCAGGACATGAATGTGAAGTGAAAGAAAAATTATTTGGTTAGAATGAAAATTTTTTTTAAAATTTCATTCTATTGTTTAAAAGATAGTAAAGTTATAAGAAATTTTTTATAATTTTCTAAATTACCCTTAATTATATTAAATCGGTCTAAAAAAATATAATTATAATTGAAAGTTAATTTTTTTTTAAAAAGTGGCTCGAAACCTAATTTTAAGACAATCATCGGTACAAAGGTCTTTGGGCCAAATTATATGATTAATTAAATTTATATCAATTTTTTTTTAAAATTAATAAACAATAAAATATTTTAAGAAAAATAAGGGTAAAATGAGAAGTTAGTTATAGATCACAACTTTCTTGCATTTAATTGTGTTTTTTATAAGAAAAAAATTGATTATTTGTGAGAAAATGAAAGAAAATTATTTTTTCTGTCATTTTTCTTTTCATACTAACCAAACATATGAAAATTTTAAAAAGTTTCTCTTTCTTGCATTTTTTACCATTTTTCTGCTAAACAAATGAACCCCAACTGTCAAATTTTTTCTTATTAACATCTACTTTGATTTCCCTCAAATTACGTGAAAAAATTTTTGTTTCCCGTAAAAGTTGCTTTATTTTTTCAGTTTTGCTCACTTACTCTTTTCCCCAATTAAATTGATATGATAAGGATAATTTAGTCTTTGCACTAATTATTTATATTTTTCTAGCAAATTTTTCATTTTAATCAAACATATACAAAAAATTAATTTTTTTTTCATTTCTTTTTTTTTAACTTCATTTTCTATTTTTTCATCGTCAATTTCTTTCTAACCAAACGGAGCGTTTGGCATTCATAGAAAATTTTTCTTTGGTCAGTTAGATGCATGTGGAATCCATGTGTCTTTTGCTTAGATTGCCAACAAACTTAATTTCAGAAACTGCCACTTTAGTGGCCTGCAAGACCACCTCATATGATGCACAATTTGTGCACTCCATTTCAACATTGCAGAAGACTTCTTTGATCTGATTTTTTTTTTGTTTGCATGTAAGGGGCAGCAGGTTTTCCTTCAACGTGCCAACAACTAGCACTTCCTCCACTAGTAGTCAATTTCTAGTTAATGAGTTTTCCACATTTTTTTGATAAGGGATTGCCCATGCAATAACCGTCGGCCCCTTGTACTTATAAAGGATCTCTTGCAGGGTCGGCCCAATGAAAACTGGGCCCTTAAATGAAAGTGATAAATGAAGACTTATCAAAATTTATCAAAAAAAATTATATTGTATGATTAAAATTTTATTTAAAATTTTTTTTTTCATTTTTTGTGATGCAAAATTAGTAATCAAATTTTTATATTTGAGTTTTACTAATATATTTTTTCAATGTATAGTATGACTAATTCATTTAATCTTTCTTGTGTTATTGTTGATCATAAGTAGAATTTAATGATTTTTAATTTTGAAAAAACTTGACATATTTTAAAATAAAAATTCTTGTGAATAAAATATAGTTTAAAATAAAAAATAATTATACTGAGAGAACAATCTAATATCTTATAAAGGTCAATAAAAATTAAACACAACATCACCTGATAAATAAAAATTGTATAAGCTTTGAATAGACGATTTGTTCGCCTCTCAAATCATTTACGATTTCAATCTTTCACAATAAAAAAGAATAATTGCATTAAATTAATCCTATCAATAAAAATATTAAAAAATTAATTACTAATCAAACAAATATGTATTTTTTCAATTTAATCTAGGTTGCAAGAGAAAAATACATAATTATGTTATATGAACTTTTTTTACTTGTGAGAGAGAGAGTGAGTGAGTAGACTTTTAGGTTTTAATTGTGAAAAATTAATTTTTGCATTTTTTAGAACGTTCAAGTCTTTTAACAGTTGGAAAAAGTAAAAGAAAAATGTGAATTGAGCCTTTATTTTAGTCTAGGCCTCGTAAGAATTTTCATTAGATTGGGCTTTTAAACCAAAATTTTTGGGCCAATTTAAAGTACAATTAAGGGCTCTTTGGAAGCCGGTACACCTAATTAGACTTATTTGGTAAAAAATACACATGATTTGAAAAAAAGTAGGATACAAAGACGTAAATACCCATTTTGATAATTTTTTTTCTTAACAATGTAACAATACACATATCATAACCGCAAAAATTTAGGCACAATTAATTCAAAATCTATTCATCTTCCTCAAAAATGGAACTGTATCTCATTGTCTTCCAAAATAAACCGATTCATCTTCATCATCATCAAAGGAAACCGCCTCTCTGTATATTCATTCAAAAAGAGACTAATTCATCTTCCTCTTCAATCGACTCTCTGTGTATTGATCAAAAGGGTTTTGAATGTGCATTGTTAATCAATTGACTAAGGGATTTGGGTTACATTGGCATCGATTGAAGAGGGTTTTGTTGGATATTTGAAGAGGGTTTTTGAAGCTCAAGAGTTTTTTCGTTACTCGTTGTTTCCACTGTGTTCGTTGGTCGTTGTTTCCACTGTGTTCATTGAGTTTATTGATCTTTGCCAGAGGTAATGTGTATATATATATAAATTTATTTTTTGTGTGTGTGTATTATCATAATGGGTAACACAATAAAAATTCAGTACATTACACTTTTTTTTTCGTTTATTTTTTGGGTATTATCATCATGGGTTATATTACACTTTTTTTCTTATTTAAATTCATGTACTGGAACTAAGGATAACAGTGGATCGGAGAAAAACAGATATTCATCCAAACCCGCTCCATTTGGATCGGGGATAGACTATACGTATTGGACGGTAGATGTATACGGGAATACCATTATAAATCTGTGCAAAAATGAAGGCGGGGATAGACTTACCCTTACTCCTCTTTCTCTATCAGCAACACCGTCCCCCTCTCTCTGTGCTTCTCTCAGTCGATCAATCTTAGAGACTCTCGCCTCTCTCGCTGTCTCATCTTTGAAGCCACAACTCACAAGCCAGGCACAACACAGGCATCCCAGGTTATCTTTCTCTCCTCTCATACTCTTTACATTTCATGATTGATGTGCTATTAGAAGTTTGTCTTACTTGGATATACACTAATGCTATATATTGTCTTCTTCCAATTTTTCTATTTTTATTCTTTTCCCTTGTGTGTAGTTCATAGGCCTTTTTATTTCCTTTAGTATACCTTGGAATGGTGTTTTTCTTTTATGTCCAGAAAATCTGAACCCAAACTAGTTCTATTCTTTTTCTCAATTCCTGTTACGAGTTTTTTTTCTCGATTATTCAATTGCTAAATCTTTCGATTCTTTGTTCAACCAGTTTAATTGATCATTAGAATTCCCTAATTATTGTTTTTCCAATTTTTCACGAAGATTCCATAAATTCTGAACCCAAACTGGTTCCATTCCCCATTCGCAATTCTTGTTACTTGTTTGTTCTTTCTTTTTCTTGATAATTTCTTCTATTTCTTTGTGTTTATCCAATGGTTGGATTTCTTTTCCCAGCCTTTTGATGCAATTATTGATTTCTTTTCCCAACCTTTGATGCAATTATCTGTTTTTCTTTTATGCCCAAAATCTACAATTTATTTGTTCGACTACAGCCACTGGTTGTGAGTCTTTTGACCATTTTTTTTGATAGTTTTCTGGTTTCCTATAAAAGAGTCGAATACTGGGGAAAGATGATGACTGAATAGGGTAGGTAGATATAGACGAGAGGAGGGAATAAGGAGCAATCCTATGACTGAATAGTTTACTTTATATGTTTTTTTTTCAACAAAATTGAATTCCAATAGTGGTTGCAATAGTGACATAAATTGCTATAAAGACCAAAGTAGCTGATTTTCTTATTGTTTTGGTACTGAGCCATGAATATAAGTAGCCGATTTTCAAAATAATAGGTCTTATTGTCATGTACTGATTTTCAACAATGGTGAAATGCTATAAATATTAAGCTTTTCTTGTGCATGACCTGCTTATGATAATGACATTTCTTGTGCCTTTTCAAATTAATGCTACTTGATCAGGTTATTGTTTCTAGTGTATGGTTTGTTGGTGGTTGTTTTATTATAGGTTGGTTTTTGCTTAGTTAATTTTTACATTTAGTTGATTACTAGCAATGGAAGGAAAAGAAGTGAGAAATAATATGTCAACTCCTCAAACTTTTGTAATATCAGGTGAAAGCAACCAACTTCCAATAGCTATTGATGAAATTCAATCTACCAACTCAACTCCAATAACTCTTGGTGAAATTAGATAGACATAGATCAATTGTGTGGAATCATTTCAAGAGAAAAACAATTGATGGGAAGTTAATGGTTGAGTGCAATGAATGTAAGAAATTGCTTATTGGTGGTGCTAAGAATGGAACTACCCACTTGCATGACCATCTTAAAAGTTGTCCGAGGAAGAAATATAAAAATTTGAAGCAATGTTTATACAAACAAGAGAAATAACAAAAGCACGTGGGAGGTCTGAGTTGGATCGTTACTTAGAAGATGGTATGATGCCAAGAAGTTCAGATTTTGATATACTATCTTTTTGGAAGACAAGTGGTCCCAAGTATCCTTTGCTTCAAATGATTGCTAAAGATCTTTTTGCTATTCCTGTTTCTACCGTTGCCTCGGAATCTGCTTTTAGTACAAGTGGGAGGATGATTAGTCCACATCATAACAGA